AGAACTTTGGGGTTCCGCAAAACACACACATATAAACAAAATTCAAACCACACAATCAAAATACTCCGTAAAATTGTCAATGCTCCTTGGTTTATTTCAAATCACACCATACACACAGACATGAACATACCAAAAGTAAAATCCTACATACACAACAAGTACACAACATTTCACACTTCTATTCTCAATCATCCAAATCCACTCGTTCTATCTCTATCTTCCTCCCTGTTATCCTGGTGAGCCTCAAAGACGACTAAAAAGGCAGTGGCCAAGAGATCTGCTGAATAGTTAAGAAGATATCAGGAATTCAAGAAGATATAATTAACGCCGATTTGCTTGATGCGTGCCAACGTAGTGGCAAATTTAAAATAACAAAAATAAAAATAAAAATTAATTCAACTTCTAGCACGGCACTGCATTTTTTTTACTGTATGCTTTACAGATTAGGCCTCACATACCTTAAAAATCGGTTACTACCTTATGCAGCCTTCTCAATACCTAGCTAAGCTACGTCTTTGTTGGATTTGATCAACCTATGTTGTTCTTTCGATAAATGACCTGATTATAGATTGCTTAATCTAGTGCTGCTCACAAAATTTAAAAGTGAAATTCACAACAAAATTTGGTAGCTATTTTTTTAAATACAAATAAATAAGTAACAGGATTTTCAGATGTATCTCGTTTTTATCAAGGTAGGTTATTAACAGAAATAACAGATATTGTTTCATAACCACAAAAGATGAGGTAGAAGAGGACTTGGTTTATTCAAACTGGTTGAAGTTTCCAATACACGGCAGCTTACAAAAGCAATTTGAAAGGCAGCCTTGTTCTCATGGTCCTCTACTGCATTCACAATTCAATTAAATAACAAAACATTCTCGTTCCAACTTCAATCATACTTTTTTTTTTCTTTTTCCTTTTTTTTTCTTTCGTTGTTTTATACATTTTTTCCCAACCACTCTTATAAAAGTAGGGGTTAAAATAGTATTTCATAATTAACTATAATATTGTTATGATTTATTTTATATATTATATTCATTTTTTGAATTTATAGAATAATATAACATTCTGCCACTTGGACATTGGTTATAGGGAGCCATTCACACAATACGTACAAAAAAAGTAAAATAAGTAGAAGCGAAATAAATAAATAATAATCAAAAAGTAAATAAAATAAAATAGCTTAAAGATAAGTAAATTTAAAAAAATTAAAAATACATACTATTTGTACTATTTACGATCAGACGAGGGAACTCTGATGCAGGCTTGTCCCTTCAACTACGGAGGTAAAAGCAATACATTATATATACAATAATTTTATCATAATCCTTAGAGAGGGTAACATATGTAATCTGAGTTTTCAACGGAAATACACGTTTTGGGATTCCCTGAGTCTAAATAACCAGGTCCCGCAAAATGGTCTGTGTTAACAATCTAGCTCAAAAAAGTCGAACGAAACTGAAATTGCACATTTAAGATTTTTATATGATAGGGATGTTACAGCAACTTTTTCGTAAAAATCGGCTAACCGGAAGTGGCACTTCATATAATGGACCAAACACATTTTTACGATTATCTCAAAAAACGCCCTAATTTAATTTTGATTAAATTCATCATATCAGTGTAAAATTAAGAAATTTTAAATAAGATGTAGTTATTATTCTGATTGATGTTCTCTGACATGGCTTAAATGGCTAATTTTCAATATTAGCTTCCTAAAAATTACCTTTAATTTTTTTTATTTGAAAAAATTGACAATTTCATATTATTTTCTAATATGAAAAACGATTAAATATAAAATATGAAATAATCTGATAAATAACTAAAGAAGAAATAATAGATCGTAATGGAGAATAGTTGTAATTGAGGAACCAAAGGAATACGAGCGCACCCAAGCTCGTCCGAAAGATTAAAACATGCTTCCTTACATATCATGAGATTAATAAAATACGGACTCCGACAATATTATATAAATATACATATGTGGTTTTCATAAATGCTATTCTTGGTATTATTTAATATTTAATTGTACAGATTACAGAGATATGGATATTAAACTTTATATATATGAGGACACTTATACAAATAAAAATACACACAATGAAATATAAATAAATACAGAGTCTATAATTCTTACTTTCACTTCGCTTTGTCTGAAAATACTTATTTCTGCTAAGAAGGGGTGGTAAGTGAAAATTGTGTGATACGCGCACCACACCAGATTTTTTAATACAGAAAGATATCATGAGAGAGACGAAATAATTACTATTCAAAATAATAGACCAAAACATGTGTACAATTTACAATTGGCTATGTCTTTATTAAAAATTGGGCATAAATAAGAAATGATTTATTTTTCATTAGAAAAATAAGTTAATTTTTTGCAGCTGAAATTGTTTAACAAGTGATATAAGATTTACATTTACTTAAAACTAATTCGTTCCGCCTAAAAAGTTACTAACTCCTCGTTTGGTTATGGTTCCACTGTGCCAAGAAACCACTAATAACGGATCTTCATGAAAACACTCGGGGTGTCGTCAATCAAGGATGTGTACACAAGCACAGTAGAACATTTAGGACAAACAATTGTTTTCACGTAAAAAATTGCAGCTGTTTACTGTCCCAACCTAACTTAATTAATTGCCTTCACCAGTTTTTCCATCGTTAATATTCTCCACTTTAATACGCTTACCTCACACAAACCACAAATAAGTAATTTAATCGCAAAATAAAAAAACATAAAGAATCTGACGAAAAGGTTTGGAATTGATGAACACTCCCTCTATCATTGGTAGTTGAGAAAAAATCTGGTGCGGTCCGCGCATCACACAACTTTCACTTACTACCCTCTTCTTAGCAGAAATAAGTATTTTCAGACAAAGGAGAAGTGAAAATAAAAATTATAAACGCTATAATTATTTCATTGTGGGTATTTTTATTTGTAGAAGTACCCTTATATATACAAATTTTAATATTTATATCAGTGTAATCTATACAATTAAATATTAAATAATACCAATAGCATTTATGAGTACCGCATATGTATACTTATATAATATTGCCGGAGTCCGTATTCTCTTAAGCTCATGTTACGTATGAAAGCCCGTTATAATCTTTAAGGCGAGCTCGGGTGCAATCAATTACAACTATTCTCCGTTACGATTTTTTATTTCTCCTTTAGTTAATTATCATATTCTATCATATTGTTTATTTAACTATCTTTTATATTGAGATTAATGTGAAATAGCCAATTGTTTCAAATAAAAAAATTAAAGGTACTTTAGAGGAAGCTGATATTGAAAATTAGCCATTTAAGCCCTGTTAGAGAACATCAATCAGAATAAAACCTACATTTTATTTAAAACTGCTTAATTTTACACTAATATAATGAATTAAATCAAAATTGTTAGAGCCGTTTCCGAGAAAATTATAAAAATGTATTTAGCCCATGATATAAAGTGTCACTCCCGATCAGTCGTTTTTAACGAAAAAGTTGTTAACATCCCTAGCATATAAAAACCCTAAATATGCAATTTCACTTTTGTACGACTTCTCGTTTTTGAGCTAGACTGCTAACACACACACACACACACACACACAGACCATTTTAAGGGACTTGGTTATTTGGACTCAGGGGATTTCAAAACTTGTATTTCCGTTGAAAATTGAGATTGAAAAATTTTCAAGATCGCAATACTTTCCTTTACTATATATTTCATATATAGGTAAGTGAGGGGGTCGAATGGGCTAAAGCGTGAGCACTGCACCGCGATTTGCCTGGCAACCAGATAAAAGAGATTTGAGAGAATAAAAAGTACGAGTTTGCGTCCCGGTGCCTGAGGGGATTTTACATTCTCCGCTCTCACCCCCCGGCCCGGAAAAATCCCGTATAGCCTAAAAGGCGAGGTAGGGAAGAACAGAAGAAAAAAAAGAAGAAGAAAGAAAAAATATATAAGTAAGTGAAAGTCAAAAACCTCAGATGATTATTTATCTATTTGATGTTTTGTTGCCTCTACCCTGAAGAGTCATTGACAATTCCTTTGAATTACACTCTGTTGTAGAGTTTTATCACTTTTAAAAACCTTAAAGTTTTTTTTACTGCACTTTCACTGTCTTGTAGGTTTTCTTTTAGACTCTGTGCCATGTCTAACTTTTTCCTTGTAGGTTCAAATGTAGGGCAGTCTTGAATAATGTGCTTTACTGTCCTTTGGACATTGCAGCTCTCGCAGGTCGGAGGATCAAGTCCTCTTAGTAGGTAGGAGTGCGAGAACTCACAATGTCCAATTCGCAGTCTGCAAAGGGCTGTCTCCTCTTTTCGAGATGATCGGTGAGAGGTTTCCCATTTTAAACAGTGGGGTTTAATTTCTTTTTATTTTGATTCTCCTTGTTCCCACTTGTTTTGCCACATGTTCCACACATTCTCCTTAATTTTTTTAACGTAATCCTCTAGAGGGATTTCATTAATTGATTCCACGGATGTTGTATCTGGCTTTCTTGCCATGTTGGCTGCTTGATCGGCTTGTTCATTACCGATGATCCCGCAATGCGAAGGGACCCAAATGAACACTACTTCTTTGCCCTTCTCCGTTAGTAGCCACCAGACGTTTCTTACATCTTTTGCGAGAGTGGTTTTGGGCCTGGTAAGTTCAATAGCTAGTAATGAACTCATAGAGTCTGTCATCACTGCCCAATTGGTAGTTTCACTTGTCTCTATGTGTTTAAGAGCTTCTCTAATTGCTGGCATTTCACCAGTAAACACTGAACACTCCGGAATTTTGAAAAGTTTTTGTGTATTAGAATTTATAACGGAACACCCTACTTCCTTATCTACTTTTGAGGCATCCGTATACAAGATGTGACACTCCTTATATTTTTCCATATTTGCTAAAAATAATTTTTGAACTTCAACTGGAAGTGATTATTAGAAATATCGATAGATTCAATACATCGTTCTTTATGCCTTCTTCCTTTTTATTATTGGTATTTTTAAGCATCTTGTAATGACAACTATAGTAAAGTTGGACAATGCCTTGCCGCAGGTGCTGATCACTAAGCTGAGGTCGGCGAACAACGCAGAGACGGAGCAATACAGGAAGGGCTGCAAGGCACTCCTAGTCCTCATCCCCCTGCTAGGCATCACCTACATCCTCTTCATCGCCGGCCCCCAGTCAGCCGTCTACAGCAACATCAGGGCCCTACTCTTGTCAACACAGGTAATTCAACTCTTTTGTATACTTGTGCATTTTATACAACATCTAGAGCTGAATTGATTGGAATACCCAACCTGTCCCCAGGGACTGTCGGTGGGCCTGCTGTACTGCTTCCTGAACACGGAGGTGCAGAACACCCTGAGGCACCGGTGGCTGCGGTGGAGGGAGGAGCGCTCATTGGCCACCAGGGCCTATGCCAAGGATATGTCCCCCAACACCAGGACAGAGAGTATCAGGTATCCAAAGTGAGAAACTTGGTTCTGTAATTTTATTTAAATTTATATAGTTTTGAAGAACAAACTTTGGTGAAAAATATTTAAATTTTATTGTATATTTTACAAACTAATTTTGAAAAATAAAATGCTTGATCTAAACGATTAATAATTCGTCAGTTTATTTCAAAGAGCCACTTACTAATATTTAATAAAATTAATTCACGATGTAATTTGATGAATTTTCATCTGTAAAAAAAAAAACATTGTACAAGTAGTTTAATTTTTTTTTTTTCTGTTGGCATTGCAGACCATGTAGATCTTTTGCTTATTTAACAAGTCTGATCCATCTATTCCTGTCTTGGACTATTTCTTTCCATTTATTTGCACGCAGCTCTGTTGCATTTTTGTTAATTCTATCTATTCATCTGTTTTTTCGGCTTCTACGTGGTCTTTTGTCTTCTAATGAGGCATTCATTTCGTAGAGACTTCCAGATGGTTGCTACGAGCTACATGCCCCACTCATATTTGCCTACGTGCCTTCATATCATGGTATATTGATTGACCAGTTTCTGTAAGCAGTTCTTTATTGGTCTTTGTTCTCCATGTGTTAGTACCCTGATCCCAGATCGCTCCGGTTATCTTGCGGAGGATTTATGTCTCAAATCTGCCAACCCTTTTTTCTAGGGTGCTGGTTAGTGTCCAGGTTTCACAGCCAACTGGTTTTATCATAGCTTCGTACATTCTTAATTTGAGATTTATGGAGCTTTTTCAGGATTTCAATACCGTTGAAAGGAAGAAGAAAGCTCTGTTTGCACTAGTTATACTCTGGTCTATTTCTGTCAGTTGGTAGTTCATTGAGGTTATTTATTTAGTTTAAATATATTTAGTTAGTGTAGTATAAAAAGGTTAATATCATTTTGGTGCACTTACTATGCTTTTGTATCCGTAAAGAAGATCTAAGTTAACGAAAATATATTAATAAATTTAACGCCATGAAAGATGTGATTAATGGTTACTGCAACCAACTGACGAAATATTTGTCATGGTATTTTTCAAACTCAGACTTTTTGCAATGCTTGGATATTTGGAACCACGCGACATTCAAATATGTATTTTCAATGAAAACCCGCTTTCATGTTTTTCATAACCGCAATAATCCAGAATTCTATATTTCTTATATATTATTATACAGAGATTAAGTGGGCTAAATTCCAATCATTTGAGATTTAGCCTGCTCTAGCATAGATCGCTAGTTTTCTCTTTTAATTAATGGTTCTTTTCAAATTCAGACATTTAGGACTATGGAAAGAAACTTAGATTCTCTGGGACAAATGTTTTGGGGCACTCATCAAATATTATATTCATCTTTGAAATCCAACCTTTCCTTATATAATGTATAAAAAAAAAAAAGAACCTGCAACACTACAACCCATGGAGTGTCTTGGGTTGAGTACTATGTGAGGACATACTGTTACAAGGGAGGTGACTGAGCCAAAATCATGCTCAACAGCCAGGTTTCACCCTTAGTTAATCATTCAATTAAGAGCACCCACTTATAGAGGCCAGGTATGAGGGTCTCCTGATTTTGACATCTTTGAATACACGTCGTATAATCTTCCTCTCATATCAGAGAAGGAATCTTCCTCCCACATCTGACAAGAAATATTTCTAGAGCTATGGATAGGATGCAACTTTCGCAGCTATGTATGATACAACCCACAGACCAATGCCAAATAAATGGCATGTAGATTCTTACTTTAGTTTTTTTTTTTCTTTTATCATTACCCCTACATCGCCATTTATGATATAGGGGAGTTGTTCTAGATGTACAACCAAACCTAATCTAAAGAGTGGGAAGATCTAGATTCATTCGATATAGTCATCATGAAATAAATTTTAATCCGCCAAGGTCGGATTCGAATCGGTATCGTTAGCCATGAGAATGTTGAAGTTTACGCTTTAACACGCTCGACCATCATGACTTCTTATTATAGTCTGCTTCGACAGTAACAGTGCCGGCCTAAGACATTCGGCGCCCTCGGGCAATGACTAAAACTAAATTTATTTCTAAAGCGGTTTTATATTATGTAATATTTCAATTCTATTTCATTCAATATTTCTCTGATAAAGTTACTTTATTTATAGACTAAAAATAATTATTTCAATATGCTTGTATATTTTTTTTAATTTTAACGAGCGGCGAGCGCCGCTTTAGCTTGGCCGGCGCCCCCTATTGTCCCGGTTGTTCTGTCCTAAGGCCGCACTGGACAGCCGATTACTACGAAAATGCTTCACGTCTACTGTAGTGAATTTACTAGTTAATCCAGATACATAAACTCATCAAACCTCGCAGTTGCACGCTCTTCCAACTGCACTTCTTTCTCCAGCGCTAAACGAGAAGGCTCTGTATAAATGTTTTGCCATTCTTGGGGGCGGGGGAGAGAGAGGAGGGAGGAGAGGAGAGGTATTAATGAAGAGGCAAATTTTTGCTACAAATTTTCCCAAGGTCGTAAATGCTTCTTATACTGCCGCAAAGGATCTTCCCATTATGTCAATATCAAAAGAAAATCCATTATAGTTTTTCAAGAGAGAAATTAAAAACTATACCAGCCAAACTTCTCCCTACCTTAGCCAGTCGATGTCGTAAAGCCCTTTGGCAAACCTCCCTTCATTCGCACAAAATATTCTTTACTTCCATTTTATAAGTTTTGGGGGTATATTCAGAATTATATCATATTGCCGATTTCCGTCTCAGCATACGATATTTTCTTTTATAAAGAAATTTCGAGATAGCTTATTCTAATAGATTATTCTTTTATCGAGAAATCTTGTAAGTAGAAGACAAATGCCTGTCTCATTATTACATTGAAAGATATCAAGATGTTTGTAAATTGAGATATTGTATAGAGGATTTTATCATATGCAGGACACTGAAAATAAAAAAATTATGTTTTCTTAACAACTATATTTATTAATAATTAAAGAATTGGTTTGGTTTAAGACATCATCAATTTTAGTTAACACACAGCTCTGAGTAAGCCTCCCCTCCTTCTGAAGTTGAGTCGAGTTCCTTGGCTCGTCAAACAAAGAGAGTAAACTTATTCCGTTCGATAAACCCATCCATCATTTCCAAGAAGAACAGCTGTGACGATAATCTAAGTGATATTACCTTCTATTGAGGTAAAAACGGGGAACATGGGTCAACCCTGGTACTTCGCTCGCCTCAGCCTCGGCTTAAAACTGCCAGGATGTTTTACTTTGGAAGACAAAAACCACTGTAAACTATTACACAATGGTTTATAATTATTTTTATTGTTGTCCAAACAGTTATACATAAAAAGTAACATAACTTTCCTTGTAGCATAATGACAAATAAATAAAAGGTGATTCCTAATATTGGCCTAGATATATATTTTTTCATCATTGATGTAGCTCTTTCAAAAAAACAAAAACCAGAACAAAGCATATAAATGTTGAAGTAAAACAAATGAAAAATATTTAGATCACCGTATCTTTGTATCAAATTACCCGATCACAGCAATTTTATTTTATTTTTAGGAAATTTCGTAAACTTTTAAGTAACCATCTAATCTCAGAACTTCCACAGTGATGGACTTTATAAAAAATGTCTACCAGAAAAGAAGCAAAACGTCATCGATCTAAACGGCATATGTATCATTGGTTAGTGTTTGAAATTTATATAAATAAATTCGATCTGAAAAAAATTAAATTACTTTTTCCTCAACCCAATCGATATCGGGTGTCTGTAAAGGGAGAGGATCGGTAAAGATCGGGTACTCCCAGCTAAACAGCCGAGCTTTCTACATATCTTATACCGTATAGCTTCCTATTGTTATTTACCCTTTAGTTACCAATCTATTTTCTTCATTCACTTTATTTAATCATTTTTTATAGCAGCTTCAAATGTGAAATGGTTAATTATTTCAAATAAAAAAAATAAAGAAACGTTAGAAAAAGAAATTTTGAAAATTAGGCATTTAAACCCTCTTAGAGAAGATCGATGAGAATGAGACCTACATTCAATTAAAAACCGCCTAGTTTTATACTAAGCAATCCGCAATGAATTTAATCAAAATCGTTTGAGCCGTTTTCGAGAAAATTGTAAAAATCGAAATATAAAGTAGAAATTCATATTTCGATTTTTTGCCGATTTTGACAAAAAAGTTGCTGTAGCATTCCAGTCATATACAAACATTAAATATGCAATTTCAGTTGCCTAAGGCTTTTCAGTTTTGAGCCAGACTGTTCACACATGGAGAGCATTTTGCAGGACTTGGTCTATTGGGACTCAGAGGACCTCAAAACCCATATTTACATTGAAAAGTAAGATTTTAAATTTTTCACAATCACAATTCTTTCCCTTAATATATATTACATATATATGTAAGTGAAAGTAAAAATGAAAATTTACGTACGTTTAAGTAAATTTTTTTTTACCTACTTGTTTTTTTAAGATCGTTTAAACAAAAAATAACTGAAGTCTTATTACTATTCAGTGAAAAAATAACTCTAGGTAGGTATATTTTTCAATTAACTGATAAATCAAATAATACCTCCCTACCTCACAGTTAGATTCAGTTTAATTCAGATATATATATAAGCTATGCAAAGATATATACACTTTAAAATTCTTTATTAAAACCATTACTGAAACTTGGAACATATCAGACCTTCACAATCACCCTACCAACTACATAAGAAATTCTTTTGAAATAGGTTAATATAAAAAATTAATTTTGCCAACTGTCCCTCGAACATGAAACAAATATAATTTCTTCTGATAATTTATAATTAAAATATTCTTATTAAAACAAAAATAGATTTTAAGAATTATTAGGCAATATTTATTACATTAAAATAATGCTGATAACAAACATCTTTCCCTGTTGGATAATTTTGCTAATTGCAAAAAGTTTGAAATTAAATATTGATTAACATGAACATATATTACTGCATAAGTATATACCAAGAGATTTAAAATGGTAACGAATATTTCATTATTATGGTTGATTTGAAAATTTTATAAGGTTAGGTCTCTGGGAGACAAATTGATATTTGAAAGAATGGAATTAAAACTGCCATGTTTCTAGATGAAGAATTGTTGAGTATAATTAACATATACCCTCATACATGTATCTCATTTGTATATGAGAGATTATTTTATTGGTCTGGCAATGTATTAACATAATTACTACAAATGAGATATTTTATGATAAGAATTAGTTAAACTTTTGTACTTCAAACAAATATATATATGATCAGTAGCGGTTTCAGACCTTGTCACTCCGGAGGGCGGCGCCCACCACTTGTTATGAATAAAAAAAAATTACAATTAAGGAGAATTAAATATTTTAGCCTATTAATAAAGCAACTTAATTAGACATATTGAATGATGAAAATTGAAATATTACTTCATATAAAACAGTATGAGAAATAAATTTAATTTTTGTAAGAGGGAAATGACTTTGTTGCCCAGGGCCGCGAAATGTCTAAGGCTGGCAATGTATATGATTACTGAGTTTTTTTTTTTTTTTACATCTTCATAGTACATATAAGGCTTAAATGTTAACACTTCAATCAGTTGTTATTAAATAACGATTATGAATAGATGGTCTATGAAACCCAGTATAGATTGTGTGACTTGTAGGTTATACAGCAGACATGAAATTGTGCCATATAGGAAGCGGGAGTCGACAGGAAGTGAGTCCACTACGATGACACTAGTTCACTCATCCAGATTTTCTAATGGTCCGAGGTCTCCCTTCCTTCAACCACCTTCAGAACCAGTCTGAGATCTTCATCATCATTGCTCTGTTTGTTAATATGATACAAAAAATATTTGTATTTCTACTTTCTATTTGAATCTGAATTTTAACTGACTGTGTATACATAAATTTGTTCATTATTCACCAATAACTACAGTGAACTCCTGTTAATTCACACTAATCAGAACCAAGAGGGTTCGGATTAAATAAGAAATTGTTTTACCAACCAGGAAAAAAAGGTTATATCACAAATAACAAATTAATTTAAAAATCTATTTACATACTAATGTTTTTTACAATAACTAATCATTGTTCAGAAATTTTTATGTTTTTAACTAGATTATTTAAGCCTCAGACTGTAAGGTGTTGATAATACAGTTTTATTGAATGTGTGTATATATATCTACTACATATATAAAATCAAAGCTTAAATTTTTATTCTTAGGCTTGGATTAGGTTTGGATTATGGAATGGCCTGGATTCGTGAGAGTCCACTGTATAATAATGTTTACATTTCAGCACTCTAAATTGATTTAATTAAAATAAAGTGGCCAAAACTCAAAAATAAATTAATAAAATATATTTTTGAAAATGTATATATTAATATAGATGTATCCTGTTGTTTTTTATTTAAATTACTTTACTAAAGAAGTTTACATTGGAATTTCTGAAATAAAATAATTCAAAAAATTGTAAATAAATCGTTTCATTTATCATTAGAAAGGAGTAAATTCCAATTTTTATTAATTACAACTTGATTTATTAGAATTATAGTAACAATGAATTTAAGGAAATGAAAATTAAAAAAAAAAAAACTACTATTTGTGTACTTAACTACAGATAGATTCTTCAAAATATCAACAATTTAAGATGTTGGAAGAAAAACAAAAATGATAAATTAATTAATTTGATGTAGAAACCTTATGCTTTCTATACATCAACCCTTTTTTAAAAAGATTTTTGGGAAATCGATATTAATTATAAATTTTAGCAAAAAGAAACTTAACTAATTAAATGAGGCTGTCATCACTTCACTACAGTATTTGTATTATATTTGGGCTATTATTCAGAAATTCATTATATAAAGATTATTTTTTCATGGAATCTGTGTTTTTATATGAAAAAAAAATGTAAGTTGTGCACTTAAAAATATGTTCATTGGAAGAATTCCTTTGATTTGGTCTCTTTCTGGGCCATTATTATTTTCTGTTTAAGAGATATTGTTTCAGAAATAACTTATTGGTTTTAGGAGGTTACTTGGTTTAATTTATTTTTTTTAAATCGGTTGATGTTTTTGTGATTAAACAAGATGTAAGATTCCTCTCTTCCAGTATTATCTAAATTTGGTGTGATAGCCAAATTTTAATTAAAATTTAAATAATCAGTGAAGCAAAGCCTTCTTTAATTAACTAATACCTCTTCACCTAAAACGACTTATATAGAAACTATGTAATATGTGATCAATTACTTATACATTTATGTAACATATAAATGTTTTTGTTAAATTTATAAATCTGAAAAACAAAATTAAATTTCAAAGACATGTTTACTTACAATTAGTTTCTTTTTTTTTAATTTAGAAATAATTTATTTAACAGTAAATTTTAGGTATAAAATATGTAAATAACTGTTACTATACTTAAATAACTGATAGTATACTTCCACATATCTGTTTACTTACGAAAAAAATGAATTCATTATTTTTCTTATTTTTGCCCATTGTAGTTTTTATCATCTAATGCTAAAACTGTTACAAACTGGTTTTAAACTTCATTCAATTAATACAAATAATTGAAAGTTTTCTCTTCCATTGCAATTCTTTATTTTTATCCTTTCAGTCTAACGTTCCGGGTAACTCACCTTTCAAAGACAATTTAATCTGGTAGTGGATATTTTATCCATCTCATTGTCTTACTACATGTTAAAACATTTGTACTTTGTTTATTAATGACTTTAAATTAAAATACTCGTCTTCCTAATATGGATGTTTTCTAATGAAGATGAATAAAAATAAACAATTACCATGGAAGAGAAGCCTTTCAATTATACCTACCTAGAACCTTCATAACTATGAAAAAAAAAATCAAATAAATGATTCTTTCATTTCTTATATTACTTTTATTTTCCTGTGAATGAGTGAATGAATTACAATTCTTAAATAAATCAATCTGAAGTATTTCTGAACAATTTTATTTCTAATTATAGCAAAATGCTAACCATACATTTTCAAATCAGAAGTTTTCCTTGAATCTAAGAATATATATATATATATGTATAAGGATATTAAAAGTTCTTGATATTTATAACTGAAAAGCAAGAATTTGTTCAAAAAATTGCATTAAAACTCACTTTATATTACCAGACATAAATTTTCACATAAATTACTTTTCGATTGTAGGAAGACATACTTAAAGAGACAGTTGGGGTTTCCAGTCATTGGAAGTACAAAGTAAAAATAAATTGTATTTATTTTCTTTATTCCGATACTTTGGCCTAAGTTTCAGGACTTCATCAGGGCTGCTCATTCGAAGGATATAAGATAAGGATATTGACTTATCCAACATCCTTCAAATGAGCAGCCCTGATGAAGGTCAAAACATTGGCATAATGAAAATGAATATAATTTATTTTAACTTTATACTTCCAATGCTTTAAATGTTGTAAAATTCACTTTTAATTGATGATCTTCAGTAATTTTAGGGGAAAGGATACCCCTATTGCTATGAGGTATACCTATTCCCTGACCTAAAATTAAATCCTGTATCTACTTCTGCCACAGAACACAGTATTTTGAAATACAAGGGCAGTAAACTAAATTGTTAGTTTAAATTGATATTATAAACCAACCATAATAGAGAGATTTTTACCGAGCATTCCTATTTTAAGAATTTAATTAGCCAATCAGGCCCACTTTTTCAACAAATGTATCTTGTAAATTACAAGTATTTGTAAAACAAAGTACCTAATTTGAATTAAATATTATGAAAAAATACAAAATTACTTAAAAAAAAAAAAAAAAAGGGAAAGAAATTTATATTTATGTCACAGTTAATTTAGATACAGATAAGCCACATTCTACTGTAATAGAACAAACCTAATTACAGAATTTTATGTTTTCAGTTGGACGCAATTCACATGTTTAATATTTTATAGTGAATACATTGTAAAATATTGAAGTATGCTATTAGATTCCTGCATAGGGATATTTGTAAATTATTGTGTAAATAGCGAAACTATTGTAAATATTGCTAATTATATTTAAGAATGATTAGATACATAATTGTACTTCAAATATTCTATTTACTGTATTTTCTTAAAACATTTTGTCTGAAATTAGAAAACAAATTTCATGTTTTATATTTCTTTTTTTTTATTTCTATTTTTATTTTAACTTTATTATATTATGCTAAATCTGTTGATTGTGTATCCTAAAAACTTCCCAATGATTCTGATTTTTTAAATGTCATATTAATAAAGGTATTGTAAATTTCTGTCAATCAAAATTATAAGTGTTTATTTTTTTATTTTAATAAACAGTTATAACTGATAGCATAAATTATGTTATCTAACATTAAATAATTGTAAATTCACAAAAAAAAAAAAAAAAATTATAAACTTACATTTTATAAAATGTTTTCCATGTATAGGTGTTACAATTTACTTCAGTAACAATTAATTGAACTGAATTAATTCTTTCATTTATTGTAACGTCAAATTGGGTGGTGACTAATATTATTATACAAAGCTCTGTAACTAAATATTAAGAATGTCTTAACAATAAAAAAATCTTAAATTGGTTTTAGAAAAACGCGATATTACTTTTTTTATATGTCTTCTCAATCCTTACATTTGTATTCCTAATCATTCATTTTTGTGTAATTATATTATTGTTTCTGAATATTCTAGATTTAAAATAACCTTTTTATTCAAGATACCATATTTTTATACATCATTACAAATTAAATCTAAAAGAAATTGAAATTGAATTGAAACTGAAAAGAAATTGAAACTAAAATAAATTAAACCCCACTGTTTAAAATGGGAAACCTCTCACCGATCATCTCGAAAAGAGGAGACAGCCCTTAGCAGACTGCGAATTGGACATTGTGAGTTCTCGCACTCCTACCTACTAAGAGGACTTGATCCTCTGACCTCCGAGAGCTGCAATGTCCAAAGCACAGTAAAGCACATTCATGACTGCCCTTCATTTGAATATACAAGGAAAAAGTTAGACATGGCACAAAGTCTAAAACAAAATCTACAAGACAATGAAAGTGCGGTCAAAAAAACTTTAAGGTTTTTAAAAGAGATAAAACTCTACAACAGAGTGTAATTTAAAGGCGTTGCCAATGACCCTACAGGGTAGAGGCAACAAAATATCAAATAAATAAATTAAAACTGAAAGATTACAAAGAAAATGATTTTTTAATCAACATTAACATTTCACTAACAAATATCGAACATAAAGATTAATAAAACAAAGCAACTTTAAAATTGTAACCGAACACTGGTGGATCCAGGGTATATCTATTTATAAACACAAGTAGTATAAATTAAATAGAGACTGATTTTGTAGTGCTCAAATTGACAACACTGGGGACATGGTACGTGGAGGGATAGACAGGTAAACATTTGATACGCATCAAGTACCAGTTTGAACACACATGGGTTATTACGCTGTCCGTAATTAATTTTTTTGTGAAAAAGGTTTTTTTAAATTGTTCTAAAAATGAGTGACAGCAATTTGGAACAACGTTGGGCTATGAGGTTCTGCTTCACTCGGACACAGTGCAACGGAAATGTAAAAAAAGCCTATGGAGACAGTACTTTGTTGATAGCCTAGATTTTTAGTTGGTTGAAGGCATTTTCAGAAGGAAGAGAATCAATTGAAGACGAACCACACAGTGGAAAGCCTTCATATTCAAGAACAAATGAAAATGTTGGCAGAATCCGCGATCTTGTGCGTTCAGATCGTCATTTGACAGTTTGAAGGATCGGTGAAGAGTTGAATTTGACTCACAACCGTTAATCAAATATTGACCAATGAACTAGGGATGAGAAAAATCTGTGCAAAAATGGGTCTGAAAATATTTCACAAGAGGAAAAAGACATCAGAAAAGAAAGGTGCCTTGACTTTTTGAGAGCAATTGAAAACGATCCCCATTTTATGAAACAAGCTATTACTGGTGGAAAATCTTTGGTGTTTAGTACAACCTAGAAACCAAGTGCCAGAATATGGAATGGCACATTTCAACCTCTCCATGGCAAAACAAAAGAATGAGCAAGTCAAAAATGAAGTGCCTGCTGGTTTGCTTTTTTGTAAGCCAAGAAATCATTCACAGAGTTTGTGCCTCAAGGCCAAATAGTTAATTAACATTTATATCGAAAGGTTCTCGAGACTTGAAAAAGAGTCCCACCTGTGAGACCAACCAACAAAAATATGTGGGTGTTGCACTACAACAATGCTCCTTGTCACACTGTGATTTCTATCAATGAGTTTTTTGCTAGTAAAGTGGCTCCTCAGCCTCCTTAATTGACCTGACTTGAATCCATGTAACTTTTTTTGTTCCCAAGACTGAAAAACCACCTCTGGGGATAGCATTTTGTGACATTGGGGAATGTTCAAACAGCTGTAACCGACAAACTGAAGACTATTCCAGTATCCGAGTTCCAGCACTGCTATGAGGAATGGAAGGATCGTATCGAAGTTGTTACTTGGAGACGTCAATGTGAATTCGTGATTTTACTTTAATACAAAAATTAGAAAAAAATCAGTCTCATTACTTAATTAACACATCTTGTATGTATATATATATATATATATATATATATATATATATATATATATATATATATATACATTTATATTTTTTAATTTGTGATTTCAAAATACTTTATTTTATACACTTTTCTCTTTATTTTCATAAATGGGAGAGTTAGGGTATGAAACTTAATTATAGATGGTAATATGAGAAGGATTTAATCGGGGGGTGCGGTCAAATAAATACTAAATTAAATAATTACTATATTTTAATTTAGTATTTATTTGACTGCACCCCCCGATTAACTCCTTCTCATATTATATCAACGGTCAACCATCTCTACATCATTACAGATGGTAATGTTGAGTTCTGAGGCTCAGGATCAATCTGACTTGGCCCGTGACTTCGGTACTAAGTGTGAAAAATTATGCCTCGAAAAAAAGCTGTGAAGAGCAGCAAATTCTAATTAAACCATTTTGAAAAATAGTTGAGTTTCAAAAATATTCTTTACTCACCTGTGACTTTAGTGCCACTAAATCTAAAAAAGATCAGCTCAATAGTTTCTGGAAAACCTGCAGATGATAGCAGCACATGAAACTTTATTTAATTGGCCACTATTTTAAAGCAAAGTAGTGGATGATACAAAGTTACAAGGACTATTCTATAGTAACCTGTGATGTCTTGTCTGAAAAATCTGATAAAAAAATGGAGCAAGTACTTTCAGAAAAACTCAGGTAGTTTTTATTGTCCCAACATATCTTGAAAAGTAAACTCAATTTTAAGAGGAGCTTGATGTTTTTTTCCATTGGTTGATTATACATGTTTATAATTGAAAATAATAAACAAAAATCATTAAAGTAATAAGTTTTAAAAATAAAACTGAAATATGAAAAAAACAAATTGCGGACTATAATAAAAATAATCCTTAAGAACACCTTACTAAAATGGCGGTCTAGGAGGGGAACTTTGAGGCCACATTTAGATTAAGACAATGATAAAGAAAACTATATATTTTTATAATTCACTCTGGGTATTATTGGTTAAGCATATGAATAGAAAATTTAATTTTCATACCACTGTAATTAAATGATAAATGAATACCACAGTTAGTGTACATGAAAACCAAACAAAACTCAAGAGAGGCAACAAATATACTATCACAACCCGGACATCTTCGACCTATGGACTAATAGTGTGCAATACTATTTATCTGCTTTTGTATGGTCATTTTTACATGATTTGCTTCAACTAAAAAAATAAGCTATCCCTCAGTTCATGAAAATTTTATAACTTTCCGGTCAAGGAAATCAAACTTACTCCTGAATTCTACGAACAGGTAGATACACTGATTATTTGTGAGTTGAGACTAGATATAGACAATAATAGAACTGCCATAGTAAAGTCAACAAAGTCATCATAGAAAGTCTTTGATTCATAAAGATAAATTCCATTCCCATCATAGTCCGTGTACATACCCCTTTTATTGAATTATTAACAACCGCCAGAAACTTTGTAAATAGCTTCATCTCATCATAACCTACAAATATTTTATTTACGAAAATTCCCGGAATTCGGGAGTTTTCAATCTGGAGGTCGGCAAACTTTGTCTAATTGAATACTAAAAACTTGTAAATACCTATTTGCTTTCCACTTGGATCGTAAGATAATTTGATCACAAAATAAGTATAAAAAAGATGATCTACAAAAATATTGGGCAATTAAATCTATATAACCTTGTTATTTTGGGGTGTAGCTCATGCCAAACGGCACAATATTTCTGAAGGCCATCTTTTTTCTCGATTTTAGGTTCAAGTTATCATACAATTCAAGTGGAAAGCAAATGGGTATTTACGAGTTTTTAGTACCTAATTAAATAGAAAAAGTTTGCCGACCTCAAGATTAAAAACACCCCAATTCCAATTTGTAAATAAATTATTTGTATGTCACGATGAGATGAAGCTATTTACAAAGTTTCTGGCAGTTGTTAATAATTTGATAAAAAGGGGTATGTACCACGGACTATTAAAACCAATACATTTTTTAAAAAATATCTGTCAACAAATGAATGTAATTTAATTTAAATTTTAGTTTGATAATTATTTTTCTGATTAATGAATCCACAATAATATGGCTTTTCTCAAAAATATTTTCATAGAATTGGTATAGTAGTTTTGCAATTTGTAATAAAATAATTTTTCTGTAACTTAAGAAATTTTATTTTTTAATTCACATTATTAAAAAAAAAAAAATTGGTCCAGTAGTTTCGGAGAAAATGCGCCGACGACGGATGGACTAAAAAATTTTTATTCGTTTTTCGAATTCTACGTATCCTGAAATGTAAAACCTTAAATTATGAGAGGAATAAAGGTTTTGAATTTTTCGGTCGAACACAATGGTTCATTATTGAAAATCATAAACCATAAAATGTATGAGTACCTAAATAAATAATTTATATCTTCTTAAATGTTTGTTAGTATCTTTCATAGTTTTAGTTACATTTTGTCTTCTTTTAATGAAAGTCCGTTATATCCTATAAAAATTAATCCATAAACATACTCTTATCCCAGTAGAAATTATAGATCAAGAGAAAAAAAACACTAATTTATAAAGGGACTTTCTTGTTAAGTATCTTTAACAAAATGTGAAGTGCGTATCACTAACTTTTTCTTTTTTGCCTCAATAGCATCGACATTCAAAGGGTCCACCACCATATTAATACATGCTACAAAAATGATAAAATTAACACAATTAATGAGCTGAAGAAAGACTTTATTTTATATAATTAAATAAGATTAACTCTATAAATTATATAACTATACAAAATGGAAAAAGCTCACAGACACTTGGTCATAATTCATTGGAAAGACTGTTAAGGCGTAAGTTTTTTATTTATTTTTGTACTGGAGATGGATGAAAAATTCATAAGATGCAACACATAGAGGAACCTTCTCACTTAAGAAAAGTATTGTTTTAAACCAGTACTTCAAAGTATGCTAAAAAACTTGAACCTTCAGAGTAAATCATTAAAATGAAAATATTTTAAATAAAAAATTCAATAATACAAAAATACATCATAATAATATACAGTCATTATTTTAAAATTTAATAATAACAAATAGTTTACAAATTTAATTAATGGAATATAAGTTACATCGATATAAAAATATATATTTTATGACTATCAGTCATAAAATTCTCCTGCATGACAATTTGTATATTTATATAATAATAGAATAAATTTATACAATACATCATTATTGTAAAGCAGCGTATTACAATGATATAATTTATTGATAAAATACTGAATGAACCATAATAAATATAATACTTTAAAGCTGGAGAGAGAAACAAGTTTTACAAGGCTAATAACTGACTAAAAAATTCCTAAACACTTAAAATAACAGTAAGTCTTACAGTTGCTTTAGTAAAGCTTTCATAAACTATATACAAGAAATCATTGCAATAAAAAACTAACAATCGGGTGGATTCTCGATGGCTGGATTTTGTATAAATTTCATTTTTTGGATAACTTCAGGAGATAGTTCTTCTAGCTTTTGCACACAAATATTCTTATGAGCAGATACAGGTGTCAAAGTGCTCAAACGAGCAGATCGACGTACAGGTGTAACAATGACCTCAGTTTCATCATTTTTCCTGTAAAAAAACAAAACAAATAGATATGTAGCTTAATAATTTAAAATTTTAGTTAAGTACCAGATTAGTGGTAGAACAGTTAAATGAAAAAAAAAAAGCTTGAAATTTCAAGTCTGAAGAACATTAACAACTTGTTACACAATTAATATTGACAGAAAAACAGCTATACTCTTAAGAAGAAAAGCAAATATATTCTTGGGCATTTAGTCCCTTAAGAATAATCAAACTAAAGAATAGCAGTGACATCTGTCTAGCACGAAATAACAGTCAAGAAAAAATTAAATTACAGAATTATGTAGCTTTAAAATTAAAATAAACGACAACCATAAGTAAAAAATTAAATAAGGAATTTACAGATAAAATAAATATCACCTGCTAACATATTTGCACTGGTAATCAATGCAGCGAAATTCTAAAAATAATGCTGGCAACACTAAAATACGAAAATAATTAATGTTTAAATAAAGATAAAGATGAGGTTTTGCGTAGAGAGAAGGGTGAGGAATTCCAAAACCCTTTTTTGGATCTTATAAAGGATGCAGTTCAATGAAAAGGAATATAATTGTTTATGGACTGAAATCTATAGTTTTAAGAATGAATAGATGAAGCAGCTTTATTTTTACTTTATATTCTTTTGACTGAACACCCCGACTTACTTCTCTTCAAATTTCACTAGTCAACAATCAATCCACTATTATAAATAATATATTATAGTGCTTCTTTTTTTTTTTTTTTTTAAACAAAGTTAAATTAAGCATTGTTAGTTTATCAGATTTATTATACGTATTACTTTATTTTATTTTAAGTGAGGTATACAATACTTAGAAGGCAAAGAAAAAAATATTGAACTGATTAAAATTTTCTACATATTAATGTAAGATTTTCTTAGGTTTAGCTAACCGACACAAATTATTGAAATGGACAAATTAATAGGATACAAATTTTCAGAAAATTATTAATAGAACATGAATGATTTAAATATAAAACCATAACTTCTAAAAGGAAAAAATAAATCAAGGATTTAAACATTAGACTATCAAGAAGAGTTTGATTGAAAAGAGATAGTATGCATAATATTCAGATGGTTGGAAACTTTATCTCACCAAGGAGTTAAGGTCGAGATTTACTAATTGTATCTTCCACAAAACTAAATCTCACCTTTCTTGAATTCAAACCAGGGTACGCACCCCTTTAAACCTAAAGGTGATGGTGGGCCACCATGCTAGGCAACCACAGCCTTCTTTAATTTTTTTAAATAATCAAGCAGAAAAAAGAACATAAGGGAAAAAATAGGAAAGGCAAAAATTAAGAAACTTAATAAAATTTATTACCTGACTTCACGGACAGCAAATTTGATTGTAGATGTGGGGAGGATGTTTGTGGCATCCAACAAAACCTGCCGTCTTTCTCTTTTCATAGGAGTAAAACATTCTTCATTACTTGTCACTTCTTCCTTATTGACAATACTTATGTTAGCAAGTTTGTTTTCTACACGTTCAATTTCCTGCAAAAAATAATCAATTGGTAATATAACACCCGGATATAATAAAATTAAAATCAAATGAAGGAGTTTGACAATTAGAAAGATAAATTAGCATAAAGAGCAACAATGATTGATTAAGATAGATTTAACTTGTATATTATGAGGTATCTGAATGACATATTTATGATGAATATCCTCAGTAAGATGTAAAATGATTAATCCTAAATATTAATCTTAAATATTAGTTACTTAAAAAGAATAATTATTCTATATTGCTACTCATCAATATTTACTTATTCATTTTTAAGATTACAAAGGTCCATAATTCATTATTAACAGTAAGGAACCAAAATAAACCGTCAGTTACAATGAATAAAACAAAAATATGAAGAAGGGGGAGGGATAAGGTAGGGATTAAAATAATGGCTCATAGCTCTATTAATACAACCAAGTCATTCCGGTGAATCTTTCTCTGTGGACTAACTTGTTTATTTCTCTCTAAAGTTGTAATATAATGTTAGAAAAATTATCAGTCATTTTTTAAAGTTTTAAATTAAAAATAATTCAATCCCGATATTTAAAAAAAAAACCCACCTATTCTTCATAAGGGATATTAATTTAATTTTTATTTTCCTATTTTTACAATTATTGCTTAGTCCTTATGTGTATATAATCATGTTTAGATTATTTTTAGAAATTTAAACAAAAAAAGAGCCGCATTATTGCAAAAAAATATATTTACTTAGACGTGGTATATGTGATGGGCGTAAATGGGCACTGCAGACGTTAAAGTGTTAAAAGAAGTTTCTGATTGCCATAATTAGCTAGCTAGCCCACAGTTAATGAAAACTGAAGGAAGATATTAAAGTTAAACCAAATGAAAACTTTCTTGATTTCAGCAGAATTTACTGTAAACTACCAACCATACAAATACAACATGACATATTCTTAAATTTCTAACCTAGTAGATACTCTGCTTAGGTTATTGGACTGATAACAGACATGATAGGATGGTAAGAATAGGCATTCCAAGGTGATAGTTTTGTAAAAATGGCGAAGAATGACTTCAATGAATCCGATGAGATAGTAGAATATATTTCTAAAAATATATACTTAATTAACCATGAATTAAAAACTTTTAAATAATAGCGCTTTTGATGAGAAATATATTAAAGGAAAATAAAATTTATTACATGATTATTATAATCTTACTGTAGTAATGATACTAAGTTCATTTATTTTATCATTTAGTTGTTACTTATACACCTGAGTGCATGTCTACATATAAGTGGAAAATTCATAGTAAGTTAATTAATATATTATATACCCCACTATATATAACTTTTAGAAATTAAGGCTTTTAATTACAAGCAAATTGAAAGTTAAAAATAATGAATTACAGTCTAGAAAGTAAAAACAAAAGTTAATACTAGTAGGTAATTAATATACTGTACACATGTCGCAGCATAGCAACATCAGAATAAAACAGCCTGTTAAAATAGATTTAAGAACTAACTCACCCTAGAAAGATCATGATCACTTTCTGTAGATATATCTTCGTATCGGATTATAGAAGCTTCTGAAACAAAAAAAAAGAAAAGAATGAGAGTGAATTTTCAACTCCTTTTGGTTTTTATTTAAAACTATAACTATATATTTCAAATTTTCTAATGAGCCAGTTGATGAAAATGGTTAAATCCAAATTGAATTGAATAGTTTTCACACATTGTCTTTACATTGAGGATACGCCACAGATAGTATCAAAAGAAATAATTAGTTTTTCTTTTAGTTATTTAACAGCCAATATTTTGGCATAATGATGTAGGTAATTACTAATATAAGTAAATAGGTTACATACAGCAGTGGATTTTTAGTTAGTATGAGAAAAACTCCAGTGATGTACCACCCGTATTGTCTAATTAAACAGGGAAGAGTGAAAAATAGAATAAAATAAAAAATAAGATTTGGTAGTTTCCAACCAAAAAAACTAATTGAGAACAAATTAATGGTATTACAGGTGGGTTTTCAACTATCACCAACATATGATACCGGGTGATATCTTCCTCACCAACATGTCAAAAGAACGCATTTGTTACATATTAAATCAACATTTAGATATGAGAAAGCTGTCCGCACATCGGGTGCTGCGTTGAAGGCAGAACTTGTGGAAAAATGTAGAAAACATTTCCAATTTTTTTATTGTATAATTGGGTTCAAACATGTGAAAAACAAAGTTGCGGAAACAAACAACCACGAACGAGGAAATACTTTTTAGAACTAAAAAAGCCAGATTTTTTCAACTTTTTTTGTTTTCTAACCTATAGTTACTAAAGATCATGTGCATCAAAGAAACAAAAAAAGTTTTTTTTTTAAGAATGAAAGGTCGTTAAATTGATCATAGAACGATTACCTAAACATAATAATATGGTTAAGTGGTATGGTCGAGAACTACAGTAAAAAAATATTGATTTTTGCCAGATTTTTCTAAAACTGAGTCAAATTAAAATTGCAATTGATTTCAGTTTGAACACCTATATTAAAAAAAAACAAGGAAAAAAAAAACTTTTCCCACATTTATAACAATAATTTCCTGTTTTAAACCTTAAGTTACTAATATAATCTTTTAATCATCTGTCATGTTTGATAAAGTGGCTCTCAAATAGCAAACAAGGTTCATTTTGCTTAAAATAATAAAGTTAATTTTACTTAAAATAAATACTTTCGTAATTAATATTTAAATCTTTGCCTGTGACAACATCCATTTTTGGGCCCTAGCTTCAGGGCTATAAGGGATAACCTAAATCAATTAAGAAATGAGTTTTGGATGGAGGTATACATTAAAAATAATAAAAGAAAACAAGTTTAGGAAAAGTAACTGGTAATTAAAAAGGTTCAAAAGTTCTACTACAAAAATACAATCAGTGAGTCAACAGAAACAATAAAAACATAGCTAAAAAACTTTAATTCAGATAAGAAATCAATTCACTACAAGGGAACCACAAGTTTGTGGTGAAGGACTAAATGTTTAGCTGATTAGGAAAGAATTAAGAATTTAAAACAAGAGATAATTCATGTATTATTTTATCGGTTTAAATTCTAACAATACTTAGCTCAGTTTTTCATCAAATTGAGTTAAATAGCAAACTCAAATTATTTTTTTAATGGCCAACTGAATGGTCATTATGCATGTGTCAATGTTTAGAAATATATTACACATGACAAGATTAACAGCAAAGAAACTAGGTAGTTTTTTATATCTCTTATGCGTTTGAGAGGATTGAGTTAAGCGGTGTTAGAACTTATCTGATGATTATTTATTCACTGTCCCATCCAATAATGGTTTTCTGAAGGAAATAGAGAAGAATGAACCAATCCATAATACACAACATACTTCAATACATTTTAAATTACTCACTACACCACAACAGAATTCAATAGCATGAAGTTAGGATAGATTCCATTAAAATTATTTTAAAAGATCATATAAAGAAACGAGAGAAGGGGTAAATTATCATGTTATATCGTACTCACCAGTATCTGAATCACCAGCAACAAGTAATGCCACAGGAAAAACTGCAGCATTCTCATTGTATGAGGTTCCAGCATAACTCTCTTGAATTCCTACTGGCACACAATTGTATTCAAATCATGACTGACAAAATGTAGTTAAACATGTTTATGGAGATGGCTACAATTTCAAGGTCAAAATAGCGATTTGGATGTAATTTTATCTACCATAAAGGAGTTTCAGAGTGAAATGAAAAATAGTAATTAATTTAAAATTTCTACTTATTTAAATTTATTATTTTCTTTTATTTATTTATTAAAATTTTAACTACCTTTAACTTAGGTATAGAAAAAATATTTGAAAAACAATACTTTAAATCATCGTGTCACAACTGATGGGTAAAATAAGCAAACCATCACATTGTTCAATTGTAATATTCAGATGAGTTCCTAGCAAAAACTAATATCTTACCGTTCCAACCCCCGTAGTACATGTGTTAGGAAGTTGTCAAAATAATGAATCACTAAGAAAAGTAAGCTAATGTATTAGCTTTCAATTACATAGAAATTTTTTTATCTTTTAATTTGTTTATTTTTCATGACTGATTTGCATTAGGTAGTAATTTTTTTCAAAACCTATAATTTGTTTTTTTTTAAAACATCTCTTCTGAATGTAAACTAAGGACATTCAGCAATGGAAGCAAAATAATTGTGTGATGAAGCAATGTAAGTCGTAGACAAAAAATTTGGCGAATATTGATTTTGGTATATAAAGTACAAAATTCCATTTCCTATACTACCAATTTCTATTCTTTGTTTCTAAAAATATTGAAATCCAACAGTTTATCATAAGTTTGATATCTACTTACTGATTTTTTTTTATTATTATTCGGCTCAGAATAAATAAAGTACTATTAGAGACTAGCTAGAAGTTATTATTGAAAATAATAATTTTCACAAAATAATATTAATTATAGGCCAAACTCAATTAGATAGGATCTTAAGAGTGAGCTTCATGTGGTATTAAATTGAAACTAATTTTTTTTCTTGACCCTACAAATTTATTTACAAATATGTACAAATATTACAAGATAAAAATTATCTTGAATGTATATATTTGTAAATAAAATCAGAGAATAAGAAAAAAAAAGATTAGTTTCAAATGAGTTTACTCTCAGGCTGCCGTCTAATCATTAGCAAGCTATAGATCGTATTATTAAATAAATAATAAGTGACAAATTACCTTCATTATTACTCAGTTCGTTTGATGCTGAATCAACTACTTCATCAGCATTCAGTTGCAAAGGATCTACAGGCTCTTCTGTATCTTCAACAACAATTTCTATTTCTGGTTTAAAACTTAAATTTAATTCTAAATCTAGAGTTTCATTGGCAGCATCACTATTAATTTCAGAAGATGCTGTTTGTTCAATTGCTGAAATTTCTTCAACATTTGTTACAATTTCTTCAACATTTGTTACAATTTCTTCAACATTTGTTACAATTTCTTCATCTGTACATTCATAATGTACAGTGGGATTTTCAGGAATTTTTACAACTTGTTCGCAGACTAATTCAACAGGAGTATTTTCTTGCAGTTCTTCTTTCTGATCAATTTCACTCGATAGAATTTCAGCTGATTGTTCAAAGGTTTCAGGGTCATTCACTTCAACTCGTAATTCTGGGATAGCTTCAGCTTCAGCAACAGTTATTTCATCGGAATTTTCTACATTTAATGCAATTGATGAGGTTGCATCAATAAATAATGTAGGTTCTTCTTCCGAACTATTTATAGGAGGTTCCAGCACGGAAATATTGCTGATTACATCTTCCTCAACAGGCACACAACTATCAATACAACTTTGGGGCTCAGGAAGATGATTTTCATTGAGTTCAGAATTTTGGAGAGTATCAACTGCTTCACTGACAGTATTTTCTTGAAGCCTATCTGATTCAGGTAGTGAACTTTCTTGAAACCTTTCATCTGAATCAGAACCTTTTTCTATTTCTTCCTCAACATTTAATGCATTTTCCACAACAGCAGTCATATTTTCACTACATTCAGAATTAACCTGATGTGTATCAACATTGACTTCCAAATTTGAGGAAGGGCCAGCATTTTCATTCGCAATGGCAGTAAACTGTTCTGATGGGCAAACAACATTCTGGTTTCCAACTTCTGTAGTATTATTAATGCTATTACAACTTGAAGAAAATCTCTTGTTAGGTTTATTAGTCGATTTCCTATCGTTATACAATGATTTGTGGCTACTAAAATGACCACCTTTCTTCTGCCCATGCTGTTGATGGTATGATCCATGACCATAACCATGATTCCTATGATCTGCTTGATGATACTGCTTATGCTAAAAAATAAGATATATACAACTTATAGTGATAATAAATCTATGAAATTGTTATCTTAAAAAAACAAATAAAAAACATACTAACCGGTGAATGATGCTCTCTATATCCAGAATAATTATAGTTAGGATTCCATCTTTGATCACCATGGCTATTGAACCTTGGACCTAAAAGATAATATATAATTAAATATAAAAATGTTATATAATAATGAAACAGTGTTTTTAATATCTCTTTAAATTTTTACTTTCTAAGGGAAAGTATTACAATCATTAAAATTTTTAGAATCTGAGTTTTTTGTGTATTTTAGGTATCTGACTAGGATACTACAGCAACTTTTTCAACAAAATCGGCTAACCAGAAGTGCCACTTTATATCAACAATTTTACACATTTCATCAAAAACGGCTAAAACGATTTTGATTTAACTCGGTATATCAATATCAAATTAAATAGTCTATAATATTAGATAGGTCTTATATCACCTAACAGGTATTCAATGTTAAATGTTCAAAACTTCTTCCTCTAGAGTACTTTTAATTTAGTTTATAATAAATTATTAGCTTTCTCCGATTGTTAGAAGTAATAAAACAGGCTGAATATAGCCTTTCAGAGAATTTTATAATTGACTAAAGAAAAAGAAAAAATATTTATTAAGGTTGAAAATGAATATGAATGTAATATGAAATATGAATAGTCAGAAGATATATGTTTAATATATCCTTGGAAAGCTGAGAATTTTATAAAAAGCAATAGCTAACATAAAAAGTCCTAAAAGGTTATGGAGAGTGACAAAAATTACAAATAATAACAAACCATGTGTTCCTAAGGAAATTAAATAAAATTTTCAAACTAAATATGAACTTATAAAATTCACTAAAAATCAAGGCCATGAAATTGTTTCAAAAACTATTTTATTGTACTTGTGTGAAGAAGTGAAATATTTCATGGAAGTGTAAAACACATTTATATAAGCTTGAATACATTTACTGTAGTTTAATAACTCTAAATTTGATATTATACTTAAATAATAGGGTATCTACTGTTGGTTTATCACGAAAAATCATGTTTTAGAAAATTAAATTAATGAATAATTTGATCAATTTTCGCTCTGTGAAATCACAATATAATCGACTAACAATTGGTGTGACAACTTTTGACCTATCGATGGAAGGCAATGAAAAGCTCGTAAATCCATTTTAGTAAACTTTACACTGGAAAATAAGAGTTTAATTACTAAAAGTAGTACAATCCATAATCATTTATGGGTTAAATATACAGATGTACTTTCAAGTCTCTCAAAGCATAAATAGGTTAGAGACTGGAGTTATATGGTTTACAAAAACAGATGGAGTAACAAGTATGCAGACCCTACAGTCTAGTCAGAAATGACATACACAAAACTGACTTCAATTATGATAGACCCTACATCAGATTGACATAATTTGTACTCTATAGATGTTGAGACAACAGGCAGTATAGATCTGGCACATTGTCAGTTTAATAATGTTTTTCATTAAAAAAGCTTGTTCGGCCATTAACATTTATAGCATTAGACATCAACAGAACTGTTGAGTTATAATAATTACAAAAATTGTTTTGACAGAAATAAAAAAAATATAAACTCAACAAAATAAAATAAAAAGGGAACATTTTGTTTAAATAAAAAAAATGTTGGAAAGAAAAGAAAAAGATCTAACAAGTATCATACACAATAGTTAAAGATTAAGTTTTCTATAAGAAAAATGTGTATAGTTTTAAATATTTTACTTTCTTGTCCAGTTTATTATTTTTAAAAAATCACTTTAATTTGAAGATATTTTGTAAACTAATAGACATAGATGGGCATAATCATAATCATCGCTTACGATTACAGTAACCATGTCACATTTTTACTTTATTTATAGTGCTAATGTATCAAGGATAAAATTGGTGTGGCAATTAAGTTTTATTTTTAATAGTCATCATTGATTTCGAGTTGGCCCATCTCTGCTTATAGAGATATGTAAACTGTTTAATTTAATGGAAATTAATAAATAGGTAGTTTACCTAGGTCTTAAGCCAAATAAACATTTGGCTTAAGATCTAGGTAAACTACCATACCATACCATATGTGCCAGGTTAGACAGCCGTCCACTTTATGTGATTGAAGATCGGATTGCAAGATTTTTGGGAACCACTCAGTTAATCGAGCTCAAATGTTAATCATCACTCTGAATGTCATTCAGACTGACCAGGTATGGTTTGCGTAAAATTCAAGCACTTCAAAACTATAAAGAACTCAAAACAGAATCTAATCCTAATATAATTAACTTGCACTTAATACTTATGAAAGGCTACAACCCAACGGATGGACAATAGTCAATATCATATATATTACAAAAATATGTTTTTTAAATATTTGTAAGATCCTTGTAATGTTATTTTGATAAACAATAAACATTCTTTCTATCTATCTGCTTCAAAGAAAATCGCATCAATTATAATGTAAATTAAAACTTATAAATTAAGAGAGAAATAGAAACTATAGTCAATGTTTCATACAATATACATATGCTTATTCTACATTATCTAATAACAAAACAGTGAGAATCAAAACATAATAAAATTGACTTGAATATGATGGGTAATGGGCAAGAGGGAGCAATTCACAATTTCAATGACTAAATATATCTTTTAACATATGGATAACACAAAAAAAAATTTAAGATTTAAAGAAAGATGGACAATGTTTTTTTCAATTTATCTACGCTCAAACTATACTCAGAGGGAGCAATGAACGCTTTATTTCTACCTTGTTGAGAATTAAATATATCACAAACAGATACTAGATATATTTGTCTTACCTTCTCCATGTTGCTGCCTAAAACCAGGCTGAAGAGTCATAGGCTGTCTGTAGTTTACATAGCCCAAAACATTAGAAGATATTGTTCTAGGTTTAGTAGAGTGGAGTTGAAGTCTGGCTGCCATTTTTTGGGCCCTTTGTTCCCTCCACTGTTCAATTCTATGTCTGAAATCAAATGTACAAATATAAAGTAACTCCGTTAATAATATTTAGGTATTTAAAAACATTAATGAAGTCCTATTCAACTTCCATAAATTATAATCAAATTAATCTAAAACATTTTCATTTTCACATTTTATTGAATATTTATAAAATCACTTATTATACTTACTCGATTACATTTCTGTTCCACTGATTATGATCCATTATAACTAAAATACAATGTAACTAATATTTTCCTGAACAATGTTAACAACTCGTTTTAACAGACAGGTCTGCAAGAAACAGTTAACGAAACGACGCTAAGGGCGGGGAGAAGTTTGAAAATGACCGTTAAACATAGAGGTAGGAAGCAAGGTGGGGAATCACAATTCAAAGGTTTCTGAAATAACGCAATTTATATCATTTTTTAATAAAGTAATTAAAATTATAATTATAAAACTAAATTAATGTCCGACAAATCGGTAATCGGATTAGTTAGTTTCAAAAGTCAATATTTTTTAATTTATCTATAAATTTATAATACAACGAATATTACACATATTCTGTACGGTATTATTATTATTATTATTATTATATTCCATGGCATGTATTGTATATTTCAACATTACAGACGTAATAATGATTTCGGCTTTTAACATATGACTGTTGTGTAAAACTATTCAATTAATATAAATTAGATTAAATTATTTCAATTAAAACTGTATTAGCAAACATGGATACAGGAGCGAAATATTAACTTTCTGTAAAACGGGCGATAATCTATGATGAACATAAACCTAACGAAGTCTCCGGTATCAGCTGAACTCAAACCTATAATTGTCTTAAAACCGGTCGGTTTGGTTTTTATACTTTAAAAACAGACACCCGTTATTTGAAAGATCCTATACAACGGAAAATAAGCAAGTTACTCAAATGAATATTGTAGTTTTAAGGAAGTGAGGTAGTCACTACAGGCAACTTTAATTTAAATTAACTTTCACAACGAAATAGGAATAATGATAGGTTGGATACACCAAAATAAAAAAAGTGAAACGATCTAGCTGCCGTTCATTAAAAATATTATACTTGTAAACAAATTACAATTTATAGATTTAAAAAATTAATAAGAAAATAAAATTGAAGACTAATTAAAAAAAATAATTAGTTTAGTAATGTTTTAAACAATTTTAAATAAATATGACAAATCTGGTTCGTGTAAAAACGAAATTTAATTTCATATTAATATGTTACTTCTAGTATCTATGAAAACAATTAATTATTTTCTTTAGGTTTTATCAATCTCCTAACACTGCTTAGCGGTAGAAGAGGATGGATTAAGGAAGATTTCATCAAGAAAAATATACTCACCTAAAGAAACGGTTAAGAGAAGCAGATGTCTGTCCAAGCAGTGGACAGATTCTTAGGGGCTGAAGTATAGCTGGGAACAAAATACTATAGTCCTAAGGGGTAGGTATTGTATTCTGTATTTTCCTCCCCACTACTATATCCCCTTCTTTTCCTGTTTCACGGGCCTTCGTTGGAATCGTACAAATATAAGATGGTGAAAATGACCATCTCAGGGTTTGGGGAAAAAAAGACAAACATGATGACCAAATATATATTCTTTTGTAATTTTTTGTAGTATTTTTCACTTCAAGTTGAACTAAATAAAAAGGTAATTAGTACTAACATTAATTTTTTGATTGATCAGTTTCTAATTTATATGTATGGCCAAATAGGTGTAGTTCTCCAATAAATCTTCTTAACAATCAGTTAATATTTTGATTAGTCTAATTTATTTATAAAACAAATTAAATAACTGGAAGTTATTATTATTGTTCTATTAAATTATCTTGTTAGTACCAGCACACAGCCACGATAACTAAAAATCGTCTGCCAAATGGCTTCCTCTCCGTTTTCAATGGCTATACGATATCTACATTTCAAGGTTTATAATTTTTCTTATGAAAATAAAATCTCCTGAAGAAACCATTTTCGGAAATAAAATAATCACTCAACATTCGCAGGTTTGATATCCACAAATTTTGTTCATCAGGGAATACTAAAATGCAGAAGAGTTCTACATTTGCAAATTGCGTATTTGATGATTCCTGTTTAAAAAAAAAAAAAAATCCAGAACATACTGAATGTGCATATCGCTTTTAGAGAAAAAGGCCGTATATAAATATTAATTGTTTTACAAGAGAGTATAAAAACTGTTTATTTCTTTATGATTTATTCGTATAATTTCATATTTTATTTCCGTCTGTTATATTCCATAGAAGCAGTCTAACTTATATTATTTGTAGTCTACCAAATGTCACCTTTAGCACAAATAGAATATAAATTATTCCAAAACAAATTACCTTTGTGAAATTATATAATAAACTTACAATTAGTGTGACGACTTGAAACAAAAATTGATTTTAACATCTGAAAATAGATCCTTTTTTACAATAACAACAATGAAATGAAGTTTGGGTGCTCTAAATTTACACTTCAATTGTTTAAAAAAAAATTAAAAAATGGTCTTTGTTTAAAAATATTAATTCTCACCTGAATTAATCTATCTATTATAATTATTATTTTACTTTCAAATTGTTGTTTAAAAAATAATTGTTTAAATGATAACACATAAAAAAACATTGAAAAAATCAGTAACAAGCCATAAAGTAATAACAATAATGAACTTATCCGTCATTTTGAGTGTTTCGTTTTTAAGAGATTTCAGAAAGAGAATAAAATAAAAATTCGTCAAGACCAGTTACCAAATCCCAATAATTAAAATGGGGATCCTCATGTAATTAATAATTAATGTAAAAAAAATGTAAACATATAGAAGTATGTTTTTAATTGATTAGTTTTAAATTTATCTGATTTTAATTTCGCGTTGAGACTGAGGTAAAATGTTTTTGTTCTCAAATTTTGGGATGAACTTTATCTTTATTGTTCCTTAGCCCTAAGGTAAATTATTTTGTAATGAGATATATGAAATCTGACAGCCTTTCTTCCCCAAAATTCCTTTTATTTATTTACATGAAACTTTTTACGATTTTACATCTAATCTTCAGACTATTATCTTTTATTCTCTCATTTATCCATAAGATTTGTCATTATTTTTAATACATATTAATTCCTTAATTTAAGAGTGGAACTTTCTCTTAAGTAGAGCCTAATCAACACTAAAGGATTCCTCCTAGCTTTGAATTATGAAGCTGAAGTAAAGTTATTAAAGGTTATGACCATATGGTTTTCCTCTCATAAATTTCTATGGGAAATATTTTCAGCCGCTTGTCTTATCTTTCACGTCTTCTCTCATAAAAGTAATAAAAATTGATTTTTTTAATAATTTCATTAATAAAATTTGATGCATGATATATAGTCTACGTTAGAATATTTTTTTTCATTTAGTTTTTTTGGAAATTATATCTAATTGACGCCCCTGTTTCCTGTTTTTATGAAGAGTTGAAGTGGCTTTATCCATTCTACCGCCGTATTTCCTGAAATCCTTCCTCCTCCAAGTCATTCACTCCCGCCGTCCTTCATACATCTCCGAGCTCCTTCAATTTAAATCCTCTGTTCACTCCCGCAATACCCGTTCCCGGTCTTCAGATTTATATATAATGGCCCACCGAACAGCTACATTCCATATATCTTTTATTATTCGATCCTCATTCCTATGGAACTCCATCCCTCCTGACATCCGTCGTTCCAATACTCTCCCTACTTTTAAATCCCGCCTATTCAATCACTTCCTTTCCATCCAATCCCTATAAATTTGTAAATAGAAATTTCTGTAAATATGAATATATATTATTAGTTTATTTTTATTTCATTGTTCTTTCATTTATTTATTTTTCTTTTTCATCGATTTACGTTTTTGATGTTTAAACTTCTTTATTGAGATATATTACAATCTGTCATATTCAAGGATAATAGTAATAGTGATATAGAGTAACTCATTCATACTATGCAAAATAAATAAAAATAATAAACAGCAATATAATAATACTATATCAAATGTATATAAACTAAAATATACTAAACTAAACACAAATAAACTAATCTAACAAAATAAATACTTAAATACACACATGCTTTTATACAATATTGACAATATTCAGTCACTCCGAGCCAAGCCTTTCCCCACACTTATGGTGAGAAAGGCAGGACACTAAGAGATCCCAGCGTCTTTCACTCAGCCGCATCAATGGTATTACCAATCGAGGCTGAGCAGAGACATTATAACCAAACATACACGGCTTGAGTGGAGAACCTGGCCATTGCCAGAACTCGAATATATTCTTACAAGGCCACTGCCGCTTCAACCTTCGAGGAGGATTGTAGGAATGAGTAGTGCTAGAGAGGGATTGTGCAATTGGATTTGGATGATATGTAAGGTTTTGGTGGAATTTGGAAAAAAATTGAAGAATAAGGTGTAGGACAAATGGGATATTAAGGTTATGGTGTAGGGTTTGTTTGGTTACATAGAACGGAGCATCAACTATTGTTGGAAGGACTTTGGACCACAGGCGGATCTACGGGGGGAGGGGCTTTCGGGCTGAAGCCCCCCCCCCAAAATGGTAAAATGTAACCGTGTTTTACAGAAAAAAATATTGAAAACTATCTCTTAAACTATTATTATTCGTGTAATTATATTTAATAGGACTTCAAGAACCACTTAAACACCATTTCATATAGGTAATTAATTTCTTTATTATTTTTTTCAAATTAGTTATCGTTATATGTATATGAAAAAAAAAATCTTTCGGACTGAAGCCCCCCAAAATTAAATCCTGGATCCGCTAGTGCTTTGGACTGAAAGGATTGAATGCGTTTGACGTTAGAAAATTTTGCTGTCCCCCACAGTTCCAGTCCGTAGGTCCAAATAGGTTTCAGTATTGTCTTGTAGATCAGTAGTTTGTTGTCAATTGAAATTTGAGATTTTCTGTTCAGTAGTATACATAGCTGGCCATATCGTCGGTTGAGTTTTTGTCTTTTTAGTCTACTATGTGGGTTCCATGTCTGTCTTCGCTATAAGAGAAAGCCAAGATACCGGACTGTGTCTAATGTAAAGATAAAAAAAAAATGTGGGCAGGATGGGATTTCGGATGAGAGGTAAATGTATTGGAGAGGTGTTTGGCGAACTCTTCGGCTTTATCTTCGTCAGATGCTGCCCAGGAGCCGTTATCTCGTCGGAGTGGATGGGAAATCTGGTGAGGGTCGTTGTGGTTTCCCAAAGAGAATTATCCCGAACAGAGAGGGAGGATAGGTAGGAGTTAAAGGATTCTGATCTGAAGGTGGCAAATTTCAGTTTTAATTTTTTACAGTAATAATTATAGGATCTGCGGTCGGTAGGATGTCGAGTACGTTGCCACAATAATCTGGCACAGCGTTTGGTGGATTAGATCAAGGAAGTGTTGGGGTAGAATGTTCTTTTTAGGAATTCTGAATGAGTCTTTTGGGAAGGAGGCAGTCCAGGCGGCTTGGTGGATTGTGACAATAAAGGAATTTATGGCACTATCTAGGTCATCGGAAGTTTTTAAGGATATATTGAGATCAATTTTATCGGGGATGATT